AACATTCTTCGTTACCAATAACATCTTCCTCATCTACATCCATATTAATATTGTCGTCTATATCTATATTATCTTCTATCTCATCCATTCTTTCTTGTGAAGAACAACTTGTACATGTTTCTCCAATACTCTCATTCTCAGATTCCGCGATTAATTCGTTTTCGACACTACGGCTTTCAACATTTATGTCATTATTTGTAACGTCAACCTCAGATACCGAAGCAGCATTATTAACATGTACAACTACGGCTGCAAGTCGTCTACGTTGCTGTCTCTCAGACAATTGTAAAACAGGTTTACGTTCGTCCATTGCTTTAATGCTACAATGTTGCTTTGAAAAAAATATATTTCAATACATCAATTATTGCATAAAAAGACCTTGCACCGATATCTTTCATTTTTTTGCAATATATAAAGCTTTCTAACCTTAAAAAACTAACCTAAAACTAACAAATGATGAAAATATTATAGTTATAGTACTCACCTTTTGAAAATCCCTGCCAAAATCCTTGTACCTCTTGCACGTCTTGCCTCACGCAGATTTCACACACAGGTAAATATATAATTTAGAAATAATTTATGATGAATTATCGAATATCTAACACGTCCTTACGGCTCGTGGGATTGCGAAATGGCGGCGGCGAGCAGTGTTACTAGACAGGACGTCTTCTTTCGCGTATGCGCAACGCATACAATTAATTCCAGCGGCGCAATATTTAACACATTGGGTTGCATATTATACAATTCAATATGTCAAAAAATGCTGAATAAAGTTAAATAGTCAAATTGAAACAAAATTTTTATTCTATAAAAATCTTACAGGTATTCCAGCTCAACAAAATAAGCTGCCTAAGAGTTTATTTTATCGAATTTTATAAGCTCTTCCGGAGCTCAGCAAAATAAGCTCCCTAGGTGCTTACTCCCAGGAAGCTTAAGGATATAAACTTCCGGGAAGCTTATTTTGTCGAATTTTGTAAGCTCCCCCGGAGCTCAGCAAAATAAACTCCCTGAGTGCTTTATCGGAGCATTGTGCTGTGTGGGATATATCTTTTGTTATTTCTCTTTTCATTATCCAAATATTAAAAAATGATGATTTTTCCCTTAGATGTCTCACCGATTGTTTATAAATGAAAGACATCGCCCGTCCATCGAACTATTCCCGCGTTATAAATTAGATATCAAAGATCTATTTATCCAAAGATTCATATATTGTGTCAGATTATATTACTTTCAAGACCGCGATAGAGAATCAAATAAAATTTGTTATGATTGCTTGGCTTGGTTGTCAAATGACAACAGATAAGACTTAAGATTGAAATTAAGGCATAAGCTAATATTTAGTATCGACCTAGATAGATTAGCGTGTAAATACAGGTGTTCCATTTGTAACGATACTATGAGTTATATCAGACAAATACGGAGTGTTACCTGTGTAAAAGCTTGTTTAACCAATACACCAGGAATAAAGGAGATTCGCAATTAAGAATAACATATGAAGAACTAAGAGAACATCCAATTTTGGTAACTAGATATAACAACCGGACCATATCAATGTCCGATAATTATAGCGACTCCTATTTAAAACTCGAATCTCTTAGGAATAGCATTAGGATGCTAATATAAGTAAATAGTGTTTCCACATTTGTGTATTAAATTAAGTCTATTATGTTCATATACCTACCATTAGGACAAGGAACAAATAAATGATTTAAATACAATCAAAACCAAAGAATTAGTTTATTACTTCATTTTACGTAGAAAATACTCACATATCCTGAGAAAACCAACTGCGACGTCCAAACTCGAGACGGCAGCTCCGCGGTTTCCAGCGACCACCTGTGGAGCATACCATGCTAAAAAACTGGTGACAGCGGCCTATCCGCGAGTGAAGATATCCACATTAATGGTCCTCAGGAAACAGGTAACCATCGTTAAACGACAAGGGCCTCTCGTTCCAGAGGATAGACGATAACGCGTTGGTACGAACCACCCGGAACATGCCAACGGCGGACGTGTAACGTTCGTAACGAAAGTGTCACCAACATAACATATAAAGTAGTGGCAGCGGTGGGATTTGCCTTCCAGAATCTCCTAAAAATTAATAAATACCTACCGTAAAAGTTGCGACGTGACATCACACGCTCTGGGCCCATAACCTGTAGGAACCCTTAGTAATAAGAAAGTTAGGAATAAGTTTCAGATAGACTTTATTCAGCGTCACTCTTGTAACAAACGTTTAGACACCATAAAATAAATAAGGATTAACGTAGAAAACATAAGAGAACATAGACTATATAAATCATAGTAGAAAGACGGTGCTAACAAGGAAAGGGACCCAAGTGTCCCCCTCCGATTTTGACGAGCTTTAAATATGTTGTAAAGTAGCTCAAAATAAGAGACACGTATTTTTTTTTATGTACTTTCTCGCACGTTTAGGGTTGAAACAACCCCTACAAGCTAAAACGGTTTTTTTGGTTTTGACTGAATATCGTCAAAACTGTAAGAGATATCAAAAAATGTTTCGAATAAAAGTGGCATGGTCTTTTATGAGCTTTATAACCGCGTAGCTCGATTTTTAAAAAATTTTATATTTTTTAATTTACCCTCACCCCTTCTTATTATTTTTACAAATTTCAAAATTTTTGTTATGACAAAAGTTGTAGCATTTTTTACGCTAAATACAACCATATATGATTTTATTATATTTTGAAATCGCATTTTTCAGAAATGAGCTGTCAATGTCGCACTATATGCGTCGCGCTGCGATATATGCATATATATGCATAACGCATTGTTTGTGCCGCTTGTGTAATCGATGTTTGTCGTGCATGTGTAATTGATAAGACAAATAAAATTAGAAATAAAGATTAGCATGTTATGAAACATTCGGAAAAATGTTCTGATCAAAGAACAAAGTTCACTAAAGTTGTTGCCAAAACATCCCCTCTATTTTACACTTTTATAGTCGCATTTCGAGTGCATTTATAGCGCAGCGCGTTGTCATATCCCGTCAGTGCATATTACGCTTTAAAGTTGTGCGCTTGTTAGTGATTACGAAAAAACAATATATAAAACAGCATAAAAAAAGAACAGCAAATTCACTATAAAGTAAGTATTACTTTTTTGTACACAAATAAGGAGAAATATTTAATTGTTATATTTTTCAGAATGGTTCAATTAAATCCATTTAACGTAATAATGTTAGTATACGTAACTTTTTTGGCCCTTAATCTATCAACAAGTCCGATAACATCTGAAGAACGAGAAATGGCACATAAAATAGAATCTATGCTGAAAGAAATGCGCGATGAGAGATACAAAATGGAAGTAGAAGAATCTTTAGATTATGAAAACGATAACGATATTCCAACAGCAGAGCAATTCGAACTAGGAGATAAAGAGGAAGAAGGTGAGCTATGGATGCAAATCCTAAAGTTATATGTACTACAGATGGACGTATTCCGTATGAATATAAAAAAAATGCAGTCGAATTTTGGAAAAGCAGTACAACAAGGCCAAGAACATTAGAAGGAGTAAAACAAAGATTTCGGAAAGTATATTCATTACGTCAATTACTACGATGGGAAATTCAAGTGAATCAAGGTGGCAGTAGATTCGAAAAATTAAAACAAATTTCGGAATATACATTAAATAATTTTCATACAGCTCTTAAAAATAGAATTATTGTTCACGACGCTGATTTAGCTCGATGGGCTATTCGGGCACAGGAAAATTTAAATGTACCAGAATTTACAGCTTCATCGCGATGGATACAAAAATTTAAAATAATACATAATATTGTATCTTGTAAAATAACAAAATTTATAAGAAAAACATCTATATTGTCTAACGTTGATTTTGAAGAAAAATGTAACACATTTATTAAAAACGTTAAATATCAAATAATAGAATATGAAGTTGAAAATATTTACAACAGTGATCAAAGTGGATTCCAATTAGAACTTCATGCCGGTCGTACATTGGCATATAAAAGAACAAAAAAGATTGAATCTGCAGTACAATCCGTATCGGCAACTACGCATAGCTATACTATACAACCTACTGTTTCAGCCGATGGTAGATTATTATCGCCTTTTTTATTGTACTGAAAGAAGTTAGTGGAACATTTGGTCCCAGAGTGCAAGAAACAATGTTTAAGGCACCTAATATTTTTGTTACGGCTTCGAAATCCGGAAAATTAACAGCGCATCATTTTAAAATTTGGTTGCAAGACGTACTTTTTCCAAATGTAGGTCCAAAATCTGTTTTACTACTAGATTCATGGACTAAACTTTGGTCATTGTCCAAATATTATTCAAGAATCTAAACCAGAATCCACAGAAGATATTATTTTGTTGACTATACCAGCTGGAACAACAGGAAAAATACAACCATTGGATGTATATGGTTTTCGTTTGTGGAAGAATTTTATTAGACACTTTTCTGATACTGTAATGCTTTTAGGTCTGGAAGTCAATCTGCATGCAAGAAACACCATTTTAAAATTACAGTCATTGACTCAATTTTCATCGCCAAGATTCAGAAATTTATTGAAATACGCATGGTATAAAAGCGGGTACGTAATAAATAAGCCCGAAGAATGCGAAACACCAGTGGAATTTTGTTTCCATAAACAGTCAAAACCAACATGCGATATTTCTGGCGCACCTGCAATAATTACTTGCGCATGGTGCAAAAAGTCACTTTGTATAAATCACTTTTTTCACGAACATCACCTTTGTGATACGTTTGTTCCATAAATTCATCTGTTTTTAATATATGTTAATATATGTATTATATTCAATATATGTAGTATGTTATTGTTGAAGGTAAAGTTGTAATTGTTTCGATATATATTATTATAAAAGAAATAAAATAATAAACAAACAAATGTTTCTAGTATTGATTAATAG